AAATAAATAAATAAAAAATAAATAAATCTTGTGATTGTGTGGTATTTGGAAGACACACTTAAAACAGAGTGAGCTGTACATGGTGGTGCACGCAGGACTCCCAGCACTCCAAGTCTGAGGCCAGCCTGTTCTACACAGCAAGACTCTGTTTCAAAAAAAAAACCACAGAAGTAAACTTTCTTTTTTTGGCAGAACCGGGGATTGAACTGAGGCCCTTATGCTTGCCAGGGAAGCGCTTATTCCACTGAGCCATCTCCCCGGCCCCTAGAAGTAAACTTTTATGCAGAAAGAACAATGAAAAAATGTCAAAGAAATAAAAGTAATGGGCTGGTGAGATGGCTCAGTGGTCTAAATCTCCTACTTAGAACAAGCTTAGCAAAGCACAGGGACCGAGGTTTAATCCCCCAGCACCACATGCCAGCCAGCCCCGCCCCCTGGTGGGCTGAGCTGGCCACATACACACAAAAATAAAATAAATTAATTTTAAAAATGTATTTAAAAAAAAAGAAATAAAAGTAATATGAAATCATGGTTAATCCAGGCATGAGAGTGTGTCCCTGTAGCACCAGCTACTTGGCCAGCTGTGTAGGAGAATCACTTGAACCTAAGAGTTAAAACTCACTGGGCACAGTGGGGCATGTCTGTAGTCCCCACACCTGGGAGGCTGAGGCAGGAGTATCTCAACTTCGAGGCCAGCCTGGGTCATACAGGGAAGTCAAAGCCAGCCTGGACTGTGTGGACCGGAGAAAAAAATCCTGCCTCAAGCCGGGAGTACAGTGGGGTGGTGTTTTGTGACCGTCACTGTATTAACTGATTCGGGCAAGAATAATTGGTGAGCTAGGTGTCCAGGTTTCAGTTATGCTCTTTTCAGTGCAAGTCGCAGAAACTAACTGGGCATGGCGGGGTGCCAACAATAAAGGAATGTACCTCGACTAGCAGGGAGTCCACAGGTAGTGCAGCTTGGTGCGCAATGCCCTCAGGGTTAAGCTCCATGTCCCCAGGTTCTCTGTTGGCTTTGTCACCCATTCAGCTTTGTCTATGGTCCCCACCTGGCTGTACACACCAACCGAAGCAACATGCTTCTTGTCCATACCCAGCGAAGACAGAGATATGAAAAACATTTAGTATGGCAGAAAGAAAGAAAGAAAAATGGTATGCTGTCAATTCAGAATTCCTGAGCCAATATTACGGAAGGGACGCTGTCACCGTGACTGGCCAAGTGGAATATAGGTTTTCCAGAGTGCCATATGTAAGGGAGGTGTGGAGAGTGAAGAAAAATTGGAATTTTGTGAAGAAGGAAGGAAATGGAATGTTCTGTCAAAAAAGCACACAGCAAAAACAGTATTCAGGGGCCGGGGAGATGGCTCAGTAGAAGTGCTTC